TTATGTAGATGACGCTCGTGACCAGTTTTAACAGTCATGTTTGTGAGGACGACAACTGTTACTGCGAAGTCCCAACTATGCCAGACCGCGCAAGTCATACATGACATTTGCCTTATGTACTTTACACGGCTAGAATATCCATCTGATATGTGCATTGTTCATGCAGATGTATGTATCTGGTCCCCACTTAGATATATAGTTACATGCAAATATGTGCTTATGGATGTGTTTTAAGATGTACAGTAAATATTTGGCCACCATCCACACAGTGTTTGTATGCGTGTCATGGATCTTAATACACATGACAATGAACAGATCAAGCGTAGGGTGCCCTTTAAAACCCACTCAGGATGCTTTCTGTATACTCAAACTAAAAGATTCACGCATCCAAATGACGGGCGCCTCAGTAGAATAGCTCTGGGGCCAGCTGGCCTGTTTTGGCGGGCCCAAGATTTGGAGGCTTTGTTGCCCAGCGGCCAGGCGAGGTGTTACAAGTTTCAACCTAGGTAACTACAATGTCTCACACCATAGAATGTTTGAGCAAGTTCCTGGGCACGAAGCCAACGTCAAGGGTCATGTTGGGCGACAGCTGGCAGTTCAACCTCACGGAACATCATCGCAGGATCAACAAAAACTTGGACGGTTAGGTCTTGCTCCGGAACCAAAGGGTTATCTTTTGTATTTCTGTATGGTTAGTGAATGCGCCGGCTCCGCAGTCGATTCTGGGAGTTGCAATGTGTCCCTCAGATTCTGTGCGGAGCAGCGACGTGCAGTGATCAAGCGAACTAACGAGTTGTCTGTTTGCTTCTCCTCGAAGTCCTTGATGCCAGTGCTTCGGGCTGTGGAAGAGCTAAGCGGTTCTGAGGCAGGCGTTGTGTTGCCTTGTGCTATACTATATAGTGACCGACCTTCAACAAACCCACCCCGTTCTTAGTTCTTGATCTCACTTTTCATTGCCAGGGGGAGCCTGCGCCTGCGCCAGCTCCTAAAGCAACCCCCAAAGCAAAAGGAAAGTCGAAAGCTAAAGGAGAACCAGGACCTAAGGGGAAGGCGAAGGCAAAGAGTGAGGCGGAAAAGACCAAGAAGACAGAAGAGGTTGAGACAGAAGATACACCACCTGAGAAGGCAAAGCCTGAGGCAAAGACCAAGAGTGAGAAGAAGAAGAAGAAGAAGGCAGAATCATCTGAAGCACGCCCCGCTGTCATGAAAAGGCCATCAGCATCCATTTCAGCCGCAGACACCGGACCCGAAGCTCCCAAAGAGCCAGAGACATCAGATGTGCCTTCTGATTCTCCCCCCAAGAAGAGGCCTTCCGCATTGAGGAAGCCAGCCGGAGCAACCCCAGGAGGCCTTCCATTCTTGTTTGTGAATTGTTCTAATAGATGCGCGTTCTCAAACAAATGTTACTGGTTCTAGATCCAACTAGCAATCCTAATGGCTTCAATTTACTTCTCAGCGCGGCGAGGAGGCCATGTTAGCAACCCCTACAAATATCCAGACGGCATCTGGGGCATCAAAGTTGACGGCAAGCAAGTCTTGACAGTTCGCAGGCAGCATTTGACAAGCGCGTTTGTTTACTTAACCAAATCTCAAAACCCGAAACAAAAAACTTGTTCTTGTTGCTGTGGAATTGTTGCTGTTGTTGATACTCGGTCTAATAACAGTGAGGTTGGCGGAAAATATCGCGACATTGAGAAATGCCACGAGATTGCCTGCGTTGCAGCGGCGGAGCTTCGCAAGGGGACGAAATTGGAGGATGTACGTTCTATGGTAGTGGCCTTGCAGCAATGGACTTTTAGTTTACAACGAAGACAGCAACGTGCAATTGATGGACAAACCCTGTAGTAGCTGAACACAAAAGAAAGCGCACACCAAAAAACTCGTAAGGGGCGTAACACATGGTGAACCAGTCATGCGCTTGGAGTGAGAGTTGGAACCAATGTGGCGCCCATCTTTTGTTCATGTGCTGAACTTGTGACCACTGCTAGTAGTCAGTCTCAGGACAAACATTTGGGATCACCAAGTCGCGTATTGGTCGTTAAGAACCCATGGGCATGTGCGATCATCCGGGGCGACAAGATTTGGGAGATCAGGTCAACGAATACAAATGTTCGGGAGCGGGTAGGCATTGCAGAGTCAGGCACGCAGAGAATCATAGGCGAAGTTAGCTTGCTTGACTCTTTTCCTTTGACGGCAGCTTTGTTTAGAGACAACTTGGACAAGCACGGCGTTGCGAATTTGGCCGATGTCATTCCTGAAGGGAGAACTGCGTACGCTTGGGTTTTGTCAGCGCCAAAGGAATACAGCAGGCCAAAAAAGTATTCCCATCCCTTGGGAGCTATCAACTGGGTTCAAATTGATCCTCCGAGTTTGACATCGCAAAACCCGCAGTTGGAAAACAGCGACTCAGCTGTGTTCCAGTCCATCGACTTGCAGTTTCAGCATCGACACATTAATTAGTGGAGAAATCATGTCAGCATGCGATCTAGCGCTTAAAATTAAAAGTCCTGCTGCAGCGTGCAGCTAACTTTGTTTCATTGAGTGTGCTGTGTTTTGATTCGACCTGGACAGGGGTGATTCAATGGATGGATAGGGGCATGGAGGGTCACAGACAGACAGATAAACATGCACGCGGGCAGACAGGCAGAAAGACAGACAGGTAGGTCAGTGTGTGTTTGTGTATGTGTGTGTTGGATATAGTGTGTGGAAAGTTGATCGCAAGATAGATTGGCGTGTTATAGATGGGCGATGAGTTGATGGCAAGTAAGTGGGCTGTGTTGTGGGTGAATGGATGAGTGCTTGGGTGGTTGGATGGGTGGATAGATTGGTCCTGGCGCAAAGATTGGTGGAGTGATTTAATTATTGGTTCATTCGCTCGATGAACTGTATGTGGTTGGATCGCAACTTGCATTTAGTGGTTGTCGGTGGGTAGATTAACTGTAGCAAGCTGTCAAGCAAAGCTGCGCACGCAGAAGGGGAGATAGGAGGGATAGTAGACGTAAGCAAGGCAAGGGGTTGGAGAAGAGATTGAGACTGTCCCCACTGTGTGCAGGTGAGCGTTAAAGGAATAACAACAAGAAGAACAAGCTCGGTCGGTGTGCTAGATAACTACTATTCTTAAATTGGTATCTTTGTAACGATTAGAAGATCTATAACAATTGACATTGAACGCGGCCATGCAATTCAAGGCTGAGATGGTGGCAACGGTCCCAGGAAGGAGCGCAACTGAGGGGGGTTGTGGGGTCGATGCAGCTGCAGCGACTGCTGCAGAGACTGCTGCAGCGACTGCTGCAGAGACTGCTGAAGCGACTGCTGCAGAGACTGCTGCTGCAGACCCTGAGCCTGAGCCTGAACAGGCGGAGGAAGAAGCTGTGATCGAGACGGATGCAATTGTGGAAGATGTGTCGTAGACTTTGCAACTGCTACAAACGTAGCCGTTTCTTCGTTTGGACCGCTGTACGCTGCTGGGTCAGTCAAGCAAAAATGTGATGCTGGCCAGAACTGGGGAGGGGCCACAGAGTTATCTAACCATGGTTGGCTCTACAACTAACTATGTGTTTTTTACTCGTGCCAAGGGACGTGGTGCTTGACCAAACAATGGGTGCGCTGACGCCCGCCCAGCTTCCCCCAATACGCGCGCGCGCGCGCACACGTGTTCAACCACTTCAACATGTCGCGCGCTGTGGAGTTGACCCTCTCGGACTTGGACTTTGAAACAAAGAATATTGCCTCTGTATGTGGAAGTGAAACATGTTCGGTAGGAAGCAAAGCTGCTTTCAATATTGATGACTGTTTTTGAAAAGCTGTCAGGTGGATAGTGTGGATAGTTTGGTTACCGACGGCGGCGGCGAAAGGGGGAAAGACCCAGATAACATATTATAATCTGATATGGGAAACAGTTTTTTGGGGTTCAAGCAACCTGACCCCCATGCGCAGCCACGATTTTGGAAGAAAAGTGAAGGCTGGCAGGAAAGCAAACAGCCCATACCTTCGTGTAGGAGGACATTGGGAGGATGAAGTAATGGGAGTGGTAGCTGAGCTTAAACATGTCCTGGCTGGAGCTCCTAGCTGTGCAGCCCCATGATGGTTGAAGAGCCACAGCATGCCAGACAAAAACCATCTTAGGTCAGACCCTTCCAGCATAACACTGGCAGGTCATTTGAGGACCTGATTCATTTTGAGGACCCAATTCACACGAAAAATCTTTCATGGTCGAAACCGAGCCGTGAGGCCAAACGATGCAACGCCCTTTGACAAGAACAGGTTCCAAGGCCAATCCAAACCCCATTACTCACACTGCACTCATGTGCCAGTGATTGAATGAATGACATTCCATAATATAGCATTGTCCTCACATAAGAGCCGGAAAGCAATCCAAAAACAAACTGCTTTGCTTGTTCATGGTTGTGCACAGGTTTGACCCCGGTTCGAGGAAACCGTTATGAATGCGCTTGCCTTTCTTGTAGGCCGCCATTTTTGTTTATTTAGGCTGAGCCTAGCACGTTTGTTTGGCCAGCTGAGCAACTATGAGCAAAAGATTGGGAATCTGACTTGATGGAAAAGAGTTTCCTGCAGGCGGCAAGCCTTCAACATCCGAAATCCTTCTATATAGCTGATTGCAAGACTTGACTTCTGCACCTTGTGCTTGTGATTCCGCCATAGTTGCTCCACCCCTGGAGCCCCACTTGGTGTGAAGTCCAGGACCACAAGTGTCTCTTAACGAAACAGGTTGCTGCCGAAGTTCAGGCAAAGCTTTGTGGGTGGTTACACTGGTCTCATGGAGCTCATTACTTTGAGACGCTTTATGACGCGCGTTTTCACAAACTGTGGCTGAATCAACCTGGCAGGCGGCAGCAGCGCCATTCTTTGATATTCTTCAACCATTGCACTCATGCGCCAGTGATTGAATGAATGACATTCCATATATAGCATTGTCCTCATATAAGAGCCGGAAAGTAATCCAAAGACAAACTGCTTTGCTTGTTCATGGTTGCGCACAGGTTTGACCCCGGTTCGAGGAAACCGTTATGAATGCGCTTGCCTTTCTTGTAGGCCGCCATCTTTGTCTATTTAGGCTGAGCCTAGCACGTTTGTTTTGCGACATTTGGTATGAGTTATGCACTGCGCGTTTTCTACTTATTGCTCAAGGTCCATGGCTTGGCCTGCTGAGCAATTATGAGCAAGAGATTGGGAATCTGACTTGATGGAAAAGAGCTTCCTGCAGGTGGCAAGCCTTCAACATCCAAAATCCTTCTATATAGATGATTGCAAGACTTGACTTCCACACTGCGTGCTTGTGATTCCGCCATAGTTGCTCCACCCCTGGAGCCCCACTTGGTGTGAAGTCCAGGGCCGCAAGTGTCTCTTAACGAAACAGGTTGCTGCCGAAGTTCAGGCAAAGCTTTGTGGGTGGCTACATGTACATATGACTGTTCAACATCGCCGGTCCTTGGCGGTCGCCTGCGGAAACAGCAGACGACACTCAGGATGTTCTACATTTTGACCCACACTTCTTGGTAGTTCATTCTGGACGAGTGCGCCCGCCTTAACCCTGCGCTGTTGAACGGCAAAAAAAAGGCGCTGCGGCTAACTCCGACGAAAAGTGTCGAAGAACAATCCTCGGATTGCATCCACTGGACGGATACAACATGATACCAAAAATATTGAATCACAATGATGCAATGACCCCATAAATAAACACAACTGAGTCTTGATCCTCCGTAGCATCGGGCTCATAAGGGCTTTGAATGGGAGAGCAGATCTCTCCCAGCACTTGCCAGGTCTGCAAGCGTTGGCCGGTGCGAGGCAAAACCTGTGCCGTGTGCCAAGCGGCTAACAGGTTGTCGCATTGGGTAACTTTGCCATCACTTCTAGGAGAAGCGGAAGGGAGGCCCTGGTTGCGGATCTGGTCGTTGCGGGCCCTGCTACAGCCCCTGAGACAAAGGAGGAGCAGTTATTGTGGTAGGGGAGGACTCCTTCCAAAGAGAGAATACAGAAGAAGAGCAGGTCACCCTTGAAGAGAAGGAGAGAAAGTCCCAGGCGCAGTACAAAGAGGTCAAAGACACCGCATCGTGGTACTGAGTGGAATGGAAGGATTCCTTATTCCTCTCATCCAAGGTGGACTTCTTCAACAAACAAAGGCATTACCAAGAGGGCGAAGCAAGAGCTTAAACACAGAAGAGATCGACAACGCGGGTATTGTTGAGAGGCACGATGCCGCCTCGCCTGCGGAGACCAGCAGCGGCCAAAGCCAGAGGCCGTGTGTTGCGAAGGCCCGCTAGCCGGGCGGACGTTGAGCCCATTGAGGAGCTGCACAGTTGGGGAGCATTGACATTGGACAAGTTGCACAATCTCTCTCCATCATTGAGCTGGACCGTGCTTCTTATTATGAGGGGCATGTCAAAGTGGCTGGACAGCTCAAAGGGTTGAAGCCCGCAGGAGAAGGCATGGAGTTTGAGCTGACCGGCACGCAAAGTGAAGGATCGACATCCCAGAGCTTTGGCTTGCCAAGCCATTGAACCCATGAAGTCTCATTTGCTCACGTCTAGAGGAGAGTTGCGCAATATGAGCAAGGAGGACCCGCCGCTGTAAATGACTTACTCGCAACAACAGATGAAAGGGCAAGCCACCCCTGTCCTTTGGCAGGAGACCTCGACGCTTTCTCAGCGGCTAAAGTCGTTGGAAAGCGGGCTACATGGGACTCACTGGACCATAGCACGTCAGTTGGATCTCGTGAAAGCAGAGGAGATCGCTTTAGCACAGCACTTAGAAAGTAGTGAGGCTGCCAGGCTGGCCCGTGACGACTACCAAAACCGAGCGCCAGGCACCAAACCGTTTGGTATGACAAGGCAAGGTGAGGCAGATTTCAATTCAAAAGGCAAACAGATAACATGTCAAGCAACATGGCGGCTGAGCCTGTATTTCTTTGGCTGAGCCTTGCAGGTATTTTTGCAAGGCCGCTCTGGGACCGGAAAGGCTGTGTGCATCATCAGCGCATCCTACATCGAAGCCGTCTTTTTCCTGATGCGCGACGTCTCTTCATCACAAGATCTTCACTGCCTTGTGAAAATGTTGCAGATGAGTTGGGAAGCTTGGCGAAAGAGTGAAAGAGTGTTTGGAACAGACCTGATGACGCCTCCTGCGGTGCTTCCGCACCCAAAAGGGGGGGAAGCCGGGAAGATCGTTGATTTTTGCCACTCTACGGAGGACGGTCCTTGCCTTTGAGCAGACACTTCACACGAGGATCAAAACTTCTGTGTCTGACTTGGGATCAGCTGGTGCAGGGTTTGCTTCCGAACTGCCCCGGAGCAATTCAATACTCAACTTTTCTTGCAAGATCCTTGGCAATATTAGTACACAGTAGCAGTGGTAGCTGGCCAAATCAGAATGGCCGTTGCGTAGAACTTTGCAGGGGAGTTTGTCGCTGGACAAAGTTTAAAAACACGAATTCTTTTTGCAAACGACGCTTTTGGCCAGCTTTGAAACCACCTGCCGGTTTGGATCCGCTCCTAATTTAGGCAGAATTCCACAACAAGCTTCGATCGTTTGATGCAAAGCTACCCGTCGAATTGCGAGGCAGAGTTACACTTGATCAATTTCGGACAAAGCAGGCTGGAAATGGACAGAAGGCTACAAAAATTGAGGAAATAGGGGTAGTTTCTGGGTGTGTATGTTTCAGCCCTCCCAGCACGGCCAATGAGAACGGAGTAGTGCCGTTTCACCAGGTTTGAAGGATATGTACGATGGAGATGCAGCTCGTCAGCTTTCGTGGCATTGCACGCTTCTCGGTGACCCTTGAGGCCCTTTTAAGAGCAGGCAACTGCCTCACGCTTGAGCAGTACACTGAGCAGACAACCGCCTGTATTGGTGTTCCGTTGCGCAAGGATCAGCTACAAGACATCTACAGCACCTCGGAAGTAGTTGCAACCTTTCATACAGTCAGCCAAGGCGTTGGCAAGGACACGGTCTAGGTCCAAGGTGAATTATGAAGAAACTTACGCAAAGTTAACCAAATTCCTGCTTGGGAACTCTGCGCAAAATCACTAAATGATAACTTGCAAAATGGAATGTGGATTGAAGGCGAGGGTCAGCATGTATAATATATTCATATATCATATATCCCATTCTTTGGAGGACAATTTTTGGGGCTGGGTTTTTGTTTCTGAGTTTGGTGAAATGTTGGATCTGCTTCTTGCTGCTTTTCTTGCTTTTCCTTGTTTCTCTATGACCTCTCCTGCTTTTCTTTCTTCTCATTGCTTTTCTGTGGTTGCTCCCGGTTTTTTATTTTTTCTGCTTTTCTATGCCTGTTTTGCTTTTCGTTGCTTCTGTGTGAATGCTTTTGTTTACTTTTCCCGCTCCCTTTGCGCTTAGTTTGCCCTTCCTGGCTTTTCTCCTTTATTGTCCCTCTTGTTTTTGTTGAGGCATATTGATTCCTTATCGCAATGGCCTTTGCTTTTTATGGTCTTTGTTGCTTTCGCTTTTGGTAAGTTTGTTTTCAATCCTTGAGTCAGCGTTGCTTTATGCATGCTTTTCTGGCTTGGTATGGTTTTCTCTGTTTTCTGATCCACTGGTGGTTGTGCTTTAGTTCACCTTGAGGAACAACTCAAGTGCCAACTAGAGAAACCACGACTACGCAACAGAAATCCCTAAACGCAACGCTTTTCCAGTTCCACTGAAGGAACTATAATCGAGAAACGACAGCCGCGCAGAAAGATCCTCAAACAAAAACGCGCCCTCATATATATATATATATACGTATACACACACACACTTTGAAGGTAGCTACAAAGCAAGCCAGTCTTGAGATGCCGCACGAAGTGCAACTCAGTCTCTCAAAAACAAGTGGTGCGCTTGGAGGTGGTTCAGGCGCCCGACTGCCAGCGCTTCTACATTGGACTCAGAGCACGCTGCATTTTCAACCTCAAGCGTGTGGAGCGGGGGAGTGAAGCGTTGTACCTCCCACGGCGGCGCAAAGGAAGTGTCCATTGTCCAAGGCGCCATCAGCCCATCTGAAAATGATTATCGATCACTGAGATGGGCCAAATGCGCAAGCTAGTGCCGGTGTTCGCCCTGAGCGTTTGGTATTGCATGTTGACCCAAGAATGGTGCGACAGCAGGAGTTTTGCGTTGGTTTCTCTCCGTAGCCTCGCTTTCATCGGCTGTCTTCCTTTCTTGGCCCACATGGATGCAGCGCGCAGCAACCAGCCTTTCCCACACGACTGGCCGACCACACACCTCCCCACATACCTGCACAATCACCCTCCCACACACTACCTACCTTGGCGCCCACTACTTTTTATGTCTCCCTCCACCACCCGCACGCTTGAATGGCTCATCGAAGCCATCATCCAACATCCAATCATTTTGGACCCTATTCCCAGCCAGGAGCACTTCACCAACCGCAATTCGTACCGGCTCTGTGTCCAATTCCGCAACTCGTTGTATCGATTGCTTGATTTGAACCAGGGGACGCCGCCTCCTCCAATTCCTACTTCTCACGGCCATTACCAAATGGACCCCAATGTCCGTTTCCCGGCCCAGACAAGCATGCAACTTCACCACACGCCCGCTCAATTCCACCTCTTCCCCAGCGCACCCGGTCTCGCTCCCGGGAACGCACCCACTCGCACCGCAGCTGGGATACACCACTCCCCCATCCCCCACTCTTTCGCTGTGCTGGCGGAGTTTGTAGCACGGGTGAAACCTGGTGTGACAGTGCTAAGGCGGAGGAGGGCGGCTGGCAGCAGCATCGGATGCTCTCTGACAATTCAATGTAGAGCGGCGCGTCGGATAGCATCAGCTAAGGAGGAACTTTGGGACTCAGTCAGTGGAGGTGGAATAGGTGGAAGAATGGGTTGTGATGCTGGACAAGGTGTAGGTGGAACTGTGCTGGGTCAAAAGCCGGCTGTGGGGCTGGTTGAGGTGGTGGTTGACGCGCGGCTGCCAGGCGGCGCCGAATGCTGGTGTAGGTGACCGATTGTAGTGGGCCCTCATCCATAGAAAGGAGGGAGCGGTGTAGCAGCTCGGAAGCGTGGTAGCCGTTTGAGGTGACAAATGCCTGTGGAAAAAGAGACAGAAAAAATGGCAGGTATCAGAAAGAGGCTGGTGTGAAAGTGTAAGAGTGATGGGTATTGTCGTCGTTACTCAAGGTGGGTGAGCTGCAAGGCTGCAAGTATGGGATGGTGACTGCGAGTCACACCGCAGAGAGCGAGGGGGCAGCTTTTACCAAAAACCACAGCAGCCAGCGCGCGCCGTGTTCAGGAGCCGAAGCTGGTGGACTGGTTGGCAGTATCGATCTGCTCTTGAATAATGTCCGTGGAAGCGCTACACAGATTGAGGTGAAGGTTGCCCTGGTAGCCCACTGCGCCGCTTGCACGCAGCAGGGTGGTGTCTTTTTTCTGCTTTTCAAGTCCGCAGCCGTCGGTGGAAAGATGTATTTGTAGATGGTGTGGGGACGGGACGCAAGTCAGGAAAGCGTCAGTCGTTTGTGCTGCCGGCTGATGTGGGGTCCCGGATCTATTTCTAGGACTGTGTTGGTTGAATGTAGGTAATGGTGCGGGTGGTTAGGTC